AATGGACTGCAACCAATTGCCTACCTCAGCAAGAAACTGCACGGGGCAGAACTCAACTACCCGATACACGACAAAGAGGCTCTTGCTATCATCATCGCCTTCAAAGCGTGGAGATGCTATCTCGAAGGACGAAGAACGACCGTCTACACCGACCACTGCAGCCTGAAATATTTGAAGACACAACCCAACCTTTCCAGGCGGCAGGTCCGGTGGATCGACTTCCTCGAGACACACTTCCACTACGACATCGTGTACAAGCCCGGCCACAAGAACAAAGCAGACGCTCTCAGCCGGCCTGCACACGTTGCCGCGATTCAGGTCGAAGGGATGAATCCACTACTCAAGGGACTCTTCACCCACGGGTACGCCATCGACCCCGAAATTTCCTTCGCAGAAAAGCGACATCTGCTACAGTGGGACAGTGACATCGCGTACCGGAAAGGATCAACAAAAATCTGGGTACCCAATTACCCTCCTTTGCGCCAGTTACTACTCGAAGAATACCACGACGTCCTGTACGCCGGACACTTCGGTAGCAACAAGACGCTCACCGGTATCGCCAAACACTACTACTGGCCCCATATGGCAGACGACGTCCAGAAATTCGTCACCTCGTGTGATACATGTCAGCGGATGAAGAGCAGCAAGCAGAAAAAGGCGGGACTACTGCAGCCTCTTCCTGTCCCAGAACAACCATGGCAAGTGGTTAGCCTGGACTTCATTACCGGGTTACCACCTACCTCCAGCGGTCATGACGCCATCCTTGTCGTCATTGACAAGTTCTCCAAAATGGGACACTTCATCCCGACACACACGACGGCACGCACCGAGGAGACAGCACAGCTCTTCGTTCGTCACATCATCTCACAGCATGGCATCCCAACTACACTCATCTCCGACCGAGACCCCAAGTTCACTAGCAAGTTCTGGAAGGAACTTATGTCTCTGCTCGGCACCAAACTCGCCATGTCATCCGCATACCATCCGCAGACAGACGGACAGACCGAGCGCCTCAACCAAATTGTTGAGCAACTCCTCCGAGCAGCCTGCAAGGACGACATCTCCAAATGGGACTTGCACCTGCCCGTACTCGAGTTTGCTTACAACAATGCTATACATGCCGCTACTGGACAGACGCCGTTCTTCCTCTGCTACGGACGCCACCCACTCACACCACAAAAACCAACAGCATCACCTACAGTCCAACCCGCACACGATTTCATCACAACCATGCATCAACTTTGGGATCGGACCCATAAGCGCCTCCTTGACATTCAACAGCAACAGAAGCGCCAGGCCGATCGCCATCGCAACGACCACACCATTTCCGTGGGAGACCAGGTGCTCCTCGACACCCGCAACCTGGACCTCAGCCACCTCCCATCTAAACTTCGACCTCGCTTCTGCGGGCCTTTCCTCGTTGAAGCACAGGTCACTCCTGTTACCTTCCGCTTACGCCTGCCAGCTACCTGGAAGATTCACAACGCCTTCCACGTCCAACTTCTGAAGCCCTATCGGGACCCGAACACAATTTTCGTCGGACGCCAGCCGCCGCCGCCGCCGCCCGTCCTCGTCCAGAACGAACCCGAGTACGAGGTCGAGTCCGTGCTTGCACATCGTCGTCGTCGGAATGGCACCGTGGAGCTTCTCATCCGTTGGAAGGGTTATGATCCTTCTGAGGACAGCTGGGTACCTGAGTCCGACATGGGTAACGCCCGTCGTCCTCTGCATGACTACCTTGTCAAGCAGGGTGTTACTTCTACCACCCAGCTTTGAGGGGGGGAAGTGTGAGAGTACGCCTCCGTTACACCACTTGGCCTTTTCCATATTTCATCTTCATTTCATTCCTCTTTTTATCTCATCGCCTTTTGCCTCATATTCCCCATTTTCCATTATCCTTTGGTTTCTTCCTTTATTATTATTATATCACCGACCAGGCATGGAATGTTCTAGACACGCTATCTAGCGTAATCCTGCTGTAATCCCTTAAAGCCAATAGCCTCGCGTGGCTATACGCAGGGTGATTCTATCTTCTAGAAGGGTCTATTCCCTTAGGATAAGATAAACCTGGTTACTTGATGTACTCTGGAAGTATAAAAGCGCCTTGTACTGATCGATAGTGCAACCTTTCCTCGACACATTCGATCCTGTGACAACGTCGTTCCCTGCGATCCTCTCCTCGTTAGCGCCTCCATGCACCCCCTGCGTCGAGGGCCGGCTCCGCCGTGCCCCTCATTCCTCCTCCTTCCCCCCCACCACCACACCGTTACAGACCGTGCACATGGACGTCTGGGGCCCAGCCCCCGTCCATGGGTCGTCGTGAGCGTTACTTCCTAGTACTTGTCGAGGACTACACTCGCTACACGACCGTGTTTTCCTTGGAGCGGAAGGCCGACGTGCCCGACGTTCCTATCCCATAGCTTGTCTCTGCACGTGTGCACCGAGGTCTCCCTGTGTTGCGTCTTCAAGGTGAAGCGCCCTCCTGGAGAGCCGCATGTCTTCAAGGCGTGCTACGTTGCTCATGGCTTCAGTCAGCGTGAGGGGGTTGACTTTTTTCTGACCTTCACCCCGACCTCAAAGATGACTACTCTTCGGGCACTACTACACGTAGTAGCACAGCGTGACTACGAGATGCACTCACTCGTCTTCTCCACAGCTTTCCTCCAGGGCAGTCTACACAAGCAGGTCTACATGCGCCGCCCCCAGGGGTTCTCCGGTACCTTTCCCCCTGGTACCGAGTGGCTCCTCCGGCGCCCCGTCTACGGCCTGCACCAGGCACCCCGTGAGTGCCACGACACGCTACTTGCTACACTTGCTGACCTGCAATTCTTCCCCTCATCTGCAGACCCCTCGCTCTTCGTCCATTCCGGCCAGAGTCCGTACTACATCCTTGTTTGCGTAGTCTATCTGGTCTTTGCCACTGCAGACAGAGACGCGCTGGCCTTCGTGAAGGAGTCTGGGTCACCCTCTGGGACCTGCACTGACCTAGAAGAGCTGCGCCACTACCTTGGCTTGCAGATCTCCAGGGATAGAGCAGCACGCACCATCACTCTCACACAGTCACACTTGGTGCGCCAGGTCCTTCAGAGGTTCGGCCTTCAGTTCTCCTCCGCACAGCCCACCCTTCTGCCAGTAGACCACAGACTCTCTGCTCCAGTCCTGGAGGAGGCTGTAGAGCCTAGTGGTCTGTACGCAGAGCTGGTGGGTTGCCTCATGCACTCGTCCAGACCTCGCATACCCTCTCAGTATCCTGGCCCACTTTGTGGTCTCTGAAAGACACCGACCACAGCACTAGTCTGCAGCTAAGAGTGTTCTGCATTATCTAGCAAGTACATCGTGCATCGGGCTAGTGCTAGGAGGACGCAGACCAGTGGTCCTTACCGGGCACACAGACGCTTCTTGGGCAGACAACGCCGAGAATCTCAGGTCCTCCCAGGGCTACTGCTTTAGCCTTGGTGCAGGTGCTGTCTCGTGGAGGTCCACCTGTTCGTTGTTTGTTGCCCACTCTAGCTGTGCGGCTAAGATCTACGCCAGTGCCATGGCGGCACAGGAGCTTTTCTTGCTCACAGACTTAGGTGAGTGGCCTAGCTCTGCCTCGGTCCTGTATGCTGACAACAGGGCCATGATCCTCCTGTGTCAAGAGCCCAGACTTGAGGGCAGACGAAGCACATCCAGCTGCGGTATTTCCTTCTACGCGAGCTACAGTAGCGTCGACAGGCCCGCGTACTACACTTGGCCTCCGGTGCCAACACATGTGATATCGTTACGAAGGCGCTTACGCCTAAAGATCATCAGCGGCACTGCGTGCAGCTTGGTCTCATTCCTGTAGCACCTCATTTACTAGGACCTTGATTGTGTATAACTCTTTATGTATTATCATGACTGGCCTTGTGGCCTTCTCTTAGTGGCTGGACTAGTAGTGCCTTCCTGATCTTGTTCTTGCCTTGTTTGTTCTCTTTTGATTGGTCTTTAGACCCCTGCCTCAAAGGTTGGACTAGTAGTGCCGCCTTGAGCTGCGTGTCTCTCACCAGGCTCTGCACTTATATAGTCTAGGGGGTGTGTCAAACATATGTGTGTATGATTAGTAGACTACATAGGGCCATGCCATAGAGAGTACAACCCACTAGCTATATACTCCTGTATACTCTCATTTTACTCCACAATTCAAACTCTGTGATGCACAGCCCTACATGATACCTGGAAGCACTTACTACCCTGGTGCCAGTGTAGTTTGAAGCACGCAGCAACATTTCTCGCTCTCAGAAACCGGTAAACATCGCGTTTACACGTCAATTTCAGCGTCGCATGTATTCACAGTCCAACTGCCGCGAAACAAGCCAAGCCAGTAAGCATTCACTGTGGCAGTCGTTTGTATCGCACGCGACCTCGCTAGTGCAACCTGGCGACACTTTTAGTGCTCCTGGCGTCAAGGGTCGCGCAATTGCCGTTAGGTTGACCTGTACCCCAGGTCAGCTCGGCATACCTGTACCAACTGCCTGACATGCGGTCTAACTTTGCCCTAAGCATGCAACAGGACCCGTGATAAGGAAATACCATTTCCTTACAGATATATTGTGGACAATAACGATTTAGCATATTTGCTATGCACATTGGCTTCTACTGTTTTCCTAATGCTCTTGGCGCGTACGCGGCTGTAAAAAAATGTTGTTGTTGGGGCCAGTGACAGCGAAGGGCGCGTTATATCTTGTGAACTTGAAGCGAGCTCTAGGCATTACATAAGTAACCAGCACGACGATCGTCCGACTGTCGTGACATTCTGGAAAATATCACCCTACAAATTGTGACACGTCTGAAAGGCCCCCCAGGTTCATGTTTTCTGCTGGTTAGGATGTTCGCCCTCACGAGGTTCTGCGAGTAATTGCTGGAGCTTGGGTTCGGATAATTACCAGGATCATGAATATGAGACGCGCCCTTCGGATCGTCATCTGGGGAGACAGATCAGGCAACTGACAAAGAATGCCATCATTTGTGATGTCAGTTGATAGTTTGTTAGGAGCTTCCCTCTCACCCGCACAGGGTGGTGGGGAGTTATGATTCTCAGCTTCTGCCTCTGAATCAGACGTTGCTGCAGTTTTAGTGCTTCGCTGCATTCCGTGTTCTAAGAATGCCGAACCAGCCGCTTCATGCTTGTGCTGCTTGCAAGTCGCTAAGGAAGAAGTGCACTCCACAGTGCGTATTTTCTCCATACTTCCCTCCGAACGAGACAGAGAAGTGGACGACAGTTCACCGTACATTCGGTGCAAGCAACATATCGAAGATATTAACGACCGTACCGCCAGGGAAGCGAACAGCGGCAGCAAACAGGTCGGCTTCTCGCATTTATTCTTAACGCGTAGCTTTCACCTTCAGGCGTCTGTCTGACATCACCCACTTTCTGTTGCTTTGCAGTCTAATATTTGAAGCAGAAGCACGCTTGGCTGATCCTGTCTACGGTACTTTGCAAGTTATTCATCGACTGGGGAACAGACTTTCTAGCCTGCATAAGGAGCTGCAAGCAGTCAGAGCTGAAAACGAAGAGCTACGTCAGAAGAACGGTCAAGTCTGTGCGTTAATGGGAATTCCACCCAACTATTCTTTCGCCTCCGAAGGCGAGCAAACCGTTCAGGAGATGGCTTCGTCTTCCTCTCCTCCGTCAGCGATAATTGAGGACGCTGCTGCCTTACTCAAGCATGAAGCCGCCTGAAGTCGTCTTAATGATGACGTGGAAAGTAAGTTATACTTCTGAGCAACGTCCGAAGGAATAAGCTCTTGTAAATATCTAATATATGCAGCAACCAGAGCTCGCCATGCATATGGATCATCGCCGGAGGACACAGCGTAGACCCATACCTTATTGTACCTAGTTACCTTTCATGGAGCAGTTTGTTGCTGGCGTGGAGATACAGATGGTTCTGGAGTGAGCTCGGCTATGATTCCGTTGCCAGCAGATAAAAGATAGCTGGTTCACTGGAAATGATTTTTTTCTGTTTCACAGCATAGCACAGCACCCTTTGGTTCCTTGACGTATCCTACTGCTTAGTCCTCAAGTAATTCATTCTAGCTTGTTTTGTGATACTATCTCACTTCCAGAAATGAGGGGGAGTGTTTGTCAAATGTAACTTAGGTTGTTAATGTAGACTATAGTGGATTGTGCCTTAGAGGGTACAACACCCTAGTCTATATATCTTTGTACATGTTGGAAATATCTCAAGGACTTAAGCGTTTCTGAAGTGTAACACTGTACTCGAGGAAGATTACAGGGGAGCACGCGAGTCAACGGAGGTTACACGAGGGGGCGGACAAAGAATGCGAAAGGACTCGAAAGGTCGCAACTGGAGGTTGCGACTGACCGTTACAACATCACGGATGGTAACCGAAGCGGCAATCGAGTCGCTGTGCGACTCGATAAACCGTTCCTGTAACTGTATTCTACAACTGCTTCCTTATCTTCTATATATTGCTGTATGCTTGTTTCTTTAATCAATCACTTGTTCTCACATACTAGTACAAGGGTTCAACTGCCTCAACTTCCGCTGCACTACTCCAAGTCTCAAGTCTTTACAGCTGGGACTTAATCTCTGCAAAAGATCCTAAAGGGTTTTTCTCAGCCCAATATGGTATGAGAGCTGGTCAGAGATCAAAACTCCCAGCAACTACACTCCATCAACAACCAGCAACTCAACTTGATTCAACAACTCCATTGATTACAAGACATGGACAACAAGGGCAAGAAAGTCTCTACGGGCTCACCCAGCGCCCAAGAAACTCAACACGGCAACTCTGGTCTGCACACCTCAGGACTGCAGACAGAGACCGGGACTACTCAAGAAACAACGGGAAGAGTACCAGAGATGGTGACTCCGTCTCCCTCTTCAAGTGTGGACCAGAATCTCATGGAGAGATTCTTCAGCTTCATGTCACACTTCGACCAGCAGCAGCAGACAAGGACACCTGCGCACTCAACACAGAGCAATGGAGGGAATATGGGATTAGCGCCGATGAGCCTCGACAACTCATCCTTCGGGCGACACAACCAAGCGCCTACCTTTGCGCCTTATCATTCTTCGCCGGGGACGTTCGAATTCATGCCGCCCCGTGCCCAGCCAACAGCAGCTGCTTCACAACAAACACCGAATGAAATCTTAAGTTTACAGGCGCAGTTCTCACACGTGATCAAACTTCAGACATCCTCACCGTTCAACGGACACGACTTCTTTACCTGGAGCTTCGAGTTTGAGCTGCTGATGGAGGCCGCGCATCTTCTGGGATACTTCAACGGGTCCCTGCCATTCCCAAGCAACGGCACTGGGAAGGAACAAGAGATCTTCACGTATCAGTCGCTGCTGGCGTACACGGTACTCCTGAGAAACCTGTCACCACAAGAGCAGCAGAGCATCAGAACGTATCGGAGTTATGGAAACTCCGCGGAGCTCGCATGGCACCACCTCAAATGCCTTTACCAAGCAAACGACAGCGTGACACAAAGCAGACTCATGCAACAGCTGACAACAATACAGATGAAGACCGGGGAAAAGGCGATGCAGTATATGAGTCGCTGCCAGACCCTCCGCGACCGCCTGCTTCGGTGCGGAGGAACGATCACTGAAGAAAGCTTCGTGACACTTGTCCTCGCCGGGCTCGGGCCAGAATGGAGAACCACACGATCACTTCTTCGAGCCCACGGAAGAATTTCGGAGATGCACCTCTGCGCCGAGCTTCACGCTGAACAACAGGAGATGGATCTGTTCGAGGAAAGACAACCAAGGAAGCAACAGCAGTTAGTCTTCTACACTCAAAGAAGAAATGACAACAACTACAACCGACGCAGCAAGCAAGATCAACGCGACAACCGAGGACTCACCATCGTGCCGCCGTTCTGCCACAACTGTCAGACTTCCGGGCACTCCAAGGTCAACTGCAACCGCCCTCGCGTTTACCGTGCAGCAGACCCACAAGTCGCTTCCACTCAAGCAAGTCCTCCAAGGCGCTCTTCAACATCTGCACAACAAACACCCAACATCATCAACTGCATGGTACACATCGACAACTGCGCACCCGCTTCACCACCCACTTACGCACCAGACGAAGAGGAATTCCCGCCGCCGCGCTCGCAAGGACTTCAGGTCAACCCGACATACGCTGCAGTCGCTAACGCCGAACCCACCGGGCGGAACACCTGGTTCTTGGACAGTTGCTGCGGTCAGCACATGTGCTCCTCCGGACGCTTCGTACAACACGAGCGACGCCTCAACCGCGACGTCGTCATCACCGTCGCCAACAACGAAAGCCTGAAAACAAACAGGCAAGGCGTGGTTCAGTTACAATCAATGGAGACAAACGTTATTCTTCAGCTCAACAAAGTCCTCATCGTCGACAATCTGGGATACAACCTACTAAGCGTAAGCCAACTAATGGCTAAGGGGATTCACCTGGAGTGCGACTCCTTCTCCAACGAGTTCCGACTTTACCACGGGAAGGGCGGTCTCTTCATCGGTCGTGCCCTCCTGAAGTCCGGTGTCTTCGTGTTGGACTTCGTCCCCGACCGCGGAACTGCCGACAGCGATGGCATCGTATCGTTCGCCGCCTGGACTCACCCACCAGATCTTGATCCCGACTTCGACAGTGACGGCTTCTGGCACTCCAACACCATACCTGCAGCAGAGAGAACACGGGCATTAGCAGTTATCAGACAAGAAAGACAAGTACCAGCAAGCGTCCCAACAAAACCATCACCTGCAGTATCGGCAGCAGGACCCAGCCGAGTACCACCACCATCAACACGAGGACCGCCAACGGAAGCAGACCAACTTATGCCCGCCACACGAGAAGCTTGTCGAAGTCCCGCCTCGGTCGTCGCGTTCTTCTCCAACGCCGACATCTACCACCGCTCGCCCGGTCACCGCGCTCCCGACGACATCTGGCACCAACGTCTCGGACATCCTGCAAACAGCACGATACTACAAACAATACAAGCAGAGGTGTTAGAACGTAACGCCCTTCTAACGACGAGCGGCCAAGAACTTCGCCGACCAAGAGCACGATGCTTCACGTGCCCCGAAGCAGATCTCCCTCATCAACCTTTCCCAGCCCATCACAATCCAAGCGCACCCACTTACGCTCCGATGGAAAAGGTCTACAGCGATATTCTAAACATGCCTCGAGACGACACCGAAGCCGACTACAACTACGTCATCACGTTCATCGACGCCGCAACCAGATACGTCTGGCACTTCAATCTCAAAACGCGCGATCAAGCCTTCGAGGCCTTCACCACATGGCTTCCAATCGCCGAACGAGAGTCAGGAACCAAACTCAAGAGTTTCCAGTCAGACGGTGCACTGGAATACCAGTCACAACGCTTCAGGACCTATCTCGCGGAAAGGGGAATCCGACGCCTGGTGTCTCTGCCCTATGCTCACCAGCAGCAGGGGGTAGCAGAACGCATGAACCGGACCTTGCAGACGACGATGCGAAAACTGCTTCTGGGGATGAGGCTGCCCAATACACTGTGGCCAGACGCGATGACACATGCAGTCCACCTGCACAACCTGTTGTCCTCGTCATCGCTCCCCAACAACGCATCACCGCACCTGCTGTGGACGGGAAAAAGGGGCAGCACAAAATTACTTCGAGTTTTCGGCTGCATGGTACAATACAGACCCCACACAGCTCGAGCAGGACGCTTCACTCAACGAGCTCGGTGGGGACTACACCTCGGCATCGCCAAACATTTTCACGCGTGGAAGATTCTCGACATACACGACAAAAATACGGTGGCATCACGTGATGTTATCTTCTACGAGCGACTGACGCTGCAGCATTACCTGGACAACATTGCCAACTCAGACGACCCCACCGACGGCTTCGCGGGCCTTCGCTCCTTCGCTGACCATGCTGCCGAGGCTGACGCAGCAGAAGAAGACGTCCCTGGAGCCTCGGAGGCTGCCGGACCACTCCCCTACTGCTCCGTACCTGTTCCACTCGATGAAGATAATCCTCTCGATAGCAACAACCTCGACACCTTTTACCACTTCGCTGACCAAGGCTACGCTACACCACACCCCGTCGACTCGAATATTTCCGAACGCATCGGGCCAAACTTCTTACCCGATCCTGAAGACGGTGATGAAGCAGCTTATCCCGAGAATGAAAACTCCCCTCGACACACAGCCACGGGACTGCAGATCCTAGGACTATGGGTCTCCGTCCAGCACCCGCCGCCGCCTTCTCCGCGCGAGCCGTCGACCCTGTCGCAGGCTCTGGGGGGGGAACATAAGGCACAATGGAAGGAAGCGATGGAAAAAGAGTTAAAAGCTCTGCAAGACCGAGAAACATGGAAACTGGTACCTGCAACGAGCATCAACGGGAAGAACATTCTCTCGGGGAAATGGGTGTACCGCATCAAGACCAACTCAGACGGCTCCATCGAACGATTCAAAGCTCGATGGGTCGTACGAGGCTTCGATCAACGATACGGAACCGACTACACAGAAACCTTCGCTCCAGTCTCCCGTCACACCTCTCTGCGCATCCTACTCGCCATCGCGGCCACGAAGAAACTACCACTACGGCAAATCGACGTTGCAAACGCCTTCTTGTACGCACCTGTGGACGCCGAAATCTTCGTCGAACAACCCCACGGATTCATCGACGACCCTTCAAAAGTATGCCAGCTGGAAAAATCCCTTTACGGGATCAAGCAAGCCCCACGGCTCTGGCAGCAGCACCTTCACGGCCGGCTCGTAAAAATCGGATTCCTACAGCTACCACATGACCAAGGCATGTACCGACTACAGAAGGGAAGAGATTACATTCTGCTCATCGTCTACGTCGACGACCTGCTCTACATCGGTTCTACCACCGACATCGTCACCTGGTTCGAAGGGGAGCTGAAAAGGGACCTGACGCTCACGGTGTCCGACGAGGTGACGCAGTACCTAGGACTGAACGTCGTCGAAGACGACACGGCGTTCTACCTACACGCTGGAAAGTACTCAAGCACCGTCGCGAAGAAATTCGGTCTAACACCGACTGCGGTC